GGAGGCCTGCGGGCTCGGGCTTGGCCTTCTCGTGTGGAGTCTGTATTTCTGAAGACATTAAAAGGGAAATAAATAAACAAATAATAAGTATTATTAATAAAATAATTATATTAGAAAAAAAAATATTAAATTTCTATGCCTCGGTAAAGTGAGGTTGGGCTTCATCATATTCTCAACAAATATGCATAATTTTTTACTTATATTGTGTTAGATTTAACCGTTAGACATATATATATATATGTATATATATATATATATATATATATATATCTATATATATACTTTTTGGGAGATGCTACAGTCGTTACCGAACCATTACGTCGAGGTTTGGAACCGTTAAATCATCATGTAATCGTCGGAGATAATTGATCTAACGGTTAGAAACTCCGACGAAATGTTCCGTAACGGGACCGTAGCATTTTCCTATACTTTTTACCATAATTTCAAACTTAAAAATCAACATAACTAAAATATTAATATTTCATAATATATATATATATATATATATAACATATTAAAAAAGTATAATATGTGATCCAACAATTTGTCACTATGTTTGAGTCTTAGATTGTGTCCAGGTCACCAGTGTAGTGCCAAAAACAAGACAAAAAGTTCAATTCTGTTTTTTCTTTTTTCTTTTGTTTTTTCTCTCCCACTATATGAATGGAAACTATTTTTATTTATTTATTATTTATTTTTTATTTTTTTAAAAAGTCCATAAATAAAAGGATTGGAGTGTGGTTTTAGAGTGAAAAATAAATGACCTGCAAATGGCTTTTAACTTCATCATTGGTAAGGCCATCAACCTTCATAAGTTCTCTGATTTGTTTGGGAGTAGCCACTGCAACAATTAATTTAACTCAATTAAATTACACATCACTTTGATAAAAATCACAAACTAAATAAATAAATAAATAAATAAATAAATAAATAAATAAATGATTGCTATATAATTGACAGTAAAAAACAATACACTGATTTTTTTTTATTGTTTGATGATTAATGCTAGTTGATTCTTACCAAAACCCTATTAATGTTTTCCTTGAAATAAAAAATAATATATATATATACATATTTAAATGAAACCAACATCCCATTATATTTAAATAAAAGTCATATTCTTAACAAAACCCTAGTAATTACTATTTTCAAGAACCAAAAACAAAAAAAATAAATAAATAAACAAATAAAATCACACAAATTAACTCACCTTGTGAGCCACCCAACATATGTAGAGCATTCACAAACCGCCGGTGCAAGTCCGGCGACCAACACCTCCTCGCCTTCCTTTGAGTCTGACTCGTATTATTACTGTTGTTGTTGTTGTTGTTGTTGTTATTAACTTGCTCTTTTTCACCGCTAAACGACTTATTGCTATTATTACCGATTTTACCCTCCTCTGCCCCCATCATCACTTCATCCTTATGCGACGAGACCAAGGCTAATTCCGGAAATCCCTTTGTATCTGAAAACGGCAAGAAAGCACCTCCGCCGTTGACGACCCTCCGCTTGCTGATGTGGCCTAGCTTTATCTCGGTCTCTTGATGATGTGGCGGCGGGGACCGTGGGCCCACACTCGATCCCTTCTCGTTTTCTTGGTTCCAAAGTTGCGCCGACGTCATCCAGTTGGCTTTGTCGTGGTGGTTCTCGGCCGCCTCGCTGTCAGTTTCGGTCGAGTTTGTGTTGTTTTTGAGAGGCATGAATTCTTCTAAAATGGGTTTTGTGGTGGAGATTATTTGGTTATTTGATCTTTGTATGTGGAGTTGTTGCCTTGATGCTTCCATTGCTGTTTAAATACATATATATAGCCCAATTTCATGCATGTATATACAATAATTAGGATTCTAAATGAACTCAATATTTTTAATTGTTTGATGTTTATTTTTGGGAAAAAATGATATAATAATAGCGGCTAAACTGCAAAACAAGTGAATATCTTATCCGCGGTAGCAATAATAGCTACCATTGTTACGAAATTGCAATAGCCAACAATTCTTAAAATTTTGGGGTCATTACCCAAATTTGGCCAAATTTGACGGCTAAATTGCAAAATATAACCAATATCTTTTTACACGATCTGTTGAATTTGATCGGACTTGGGTATTAACCTGAAAATTTTAAAAGTTGTTGGCTATTATTGTCGAGGCATACAAGATACTGGTTATATTTTTCAGTTAAATTTAATAATAGGGGTAGATGCATGAATATCCATAAATAGATATTTACCATTTGTGAGGAGTTGCATGCATAGTGGAAGCTCGCGCTTGAAGGCGTCGATCTTGAGCCTTTCCTCCTCAAGTCGAGCTAAGAACTCCTCGAGCTTTAGGGTTTGTTCGCTCGCCTCGTCGCCGAGGGATTTCGGAAGGATGGAGTAGATGTGGGATTTGAAGTCGAAGCTTATATCTGATGGGCTCGTTGTCATGATTATCAAATTATTACATAAAAAATATTGACAATCTATATGATGTTATGTGCAAATGTTTGTAGAGGATAATGAGTTAAAGAGTAAATATGAATTTTCTTTTTTTTTTTTTT